GGGGTGTTCAGCGGTTACAAGAGCAATTTCATTTAATTCCGTATAGCCGTGATGACTTTATACACAAAAATTTTCAGAATGGCAATATGGGGTAATTTGGCCGGGACTAGCGGGGCAACTTGGCCGGTGCGCTCATGGTCACTATGCTGGGACGGCCGAGTTTTCATGGTCAATTGTACCATAAATGACATAATTCATGACCAACTTTGACTACTTTGATGCCTTACTTCCGATTGGTCAACTGTAAGAGCATGTGACGTCATCAAAGGTTACCAAACGTTTTTTGCTAATAAATCCTTACATGAAAATGGTACAGCCGCACAAATGGTCTCATTCTGTTCAGCTCGCCAAGGCGCATCGAATGATATGCATGATGACCTTGAAATCACGTGACCTTGAGGTCAAGTGACCTGAGGTAACGTGACCTGAGGTCAACCTTTGACCTTGACTTCTCGAGGTCAACAAATATATGTTTCGATGCGGAATGACGAGAGAATTACGATGGTACTCGAAGTTTTGGCCTAGCTTGATTACTTCAAAAGTTATTCGTAAAAAACTGTCTTCGCATCTAGAGCCGCTAATTTGGCTATTTTGACCCCTGTGACCCCATGAGTCAACCTCCAAAACGTGATAAATGCGTCATAGGACACACGTCATTGCTGAATCTGAAGCTGACTCGCAATATAACAGAAAATCCTGACCGCAAACTAACACCGGCCAAATTGCCCCACACCCCCGGCCAAATAACCCTGCTAGTGGGGCAATTTGGCCGCCTTGCAGACCTTTGTAATACGTCACAATTTCAATATAAGTAATTACTCTATCATTTCAAGTTCACTGTCCAGTAAAGTAAAATGAATGCGACACCTGCCAGCGTTGAGAAAATGCAGAAATGTGTCGTCAATTTTAAGTTACATCGTTTTCTAAAAAAAAGCGGCCAAATTACCCCACTCTCCCCTAATCGACAACACTTGGTCAATAAGTAATGGCCGTCTCCGGTGGCTGTGGTTATCTGTTCTTACCTGCCTGCCGACAGGGTATGTTGTCGGCAGGCAGGCAAATGCCTGTGATGGCTGTAAGTTATGTGCTCTAACTTCTGTGTTTATCGACAGGGCACGGTGACGACGATGAAGTCTCACGACCTGCCGACGCTGCAGCGTCTGTTGGAGGAGGAGCCGCCGCCACTGGAAGCCGCCGGCCTGCAGCCCACCGCCGATCAGATCGAGCTGTACGCCTACCACCTGCCCAACGCCACCCTGTCCAACCTGATGGTGAGAGCGGTCAGCGGCCTAACAGTGTGGGTAGTGGGGAGGGGGGGGGGGGGGTTCAGCCTACCACCTGCCCAACGCCACCCTGTCCAACCTGATGGTGAGAGCGGTCAGCGGCCGGACAGTGGGGGTAGCGGAGGGGGAGGGTATACGTACCACCTGCCCAACGCCACCCTGTCCAACCTGATGGTGAGAGCGGCCGTCACTCGGGTCATTTACTCTGTCATGCGTGATTGTCACAGTCTAAATGTCGGTTTTTTAGTACATCTGTCGTGTTGCTGCTAGAAGTTTAAATTCGGATAGCTCTGATGATAAAAATTAGTCCTAACTTCTCAGGCTGGCAGTTACTAATTGCGTTTTATCTTCTTTGGTTCGCTGACTAACTCTGCGCTATCTCATCCCCACAGGACATTTTCGTGAACCTGTCAACGGTGGACGACTCTCTGTACTTTATGTGTCAGACGGACAGCTTCAAGTTCCTGGCCGATATGATCCAGCACGTGCCGCTGCCGCTGCGCGTCCGATACGTGTTCTGCTGCTCGCCCATCGACAGGAAGATACCCTTCATCTGCAACATGTTCCTCAAGGTATGTGGCGGGCGGCGTCAGGGTGAGGGGTCTTTCAGCATTCAGCTTCTACTGCTCGCTGCCACTGGGAATAATTAACATTAGGGACAGGTTCCAGATTTGTTAACGGATCCGCTATTTGTTTGATCATCTTGTGTTCGTACGGGTAGTTTGTGCGGTATATTGACGCACTGTATGCATGCATTATGCAGTTTGCGCGCCAGTACAGCCGCAATGAGCCAATCACGGTGAACTGGCTGTGTCTAGTTTTCCCGCCACTATAACGTTGTCTCTGTGTGTTCAGTTTGCGCGCCAGTACAGCCGTAACGAGCCGATCACGGTGGACTGGCTGTGCTCGCACGTGGGCTGGCCGTTCACCACGCCGGCCACCATCCTGGACCTGGTGCACCTGGAACACGTGTTCGACGTGCTCGACCTCTACCTCTGGCTCAGGTGAGAGGCAGTACGGGAGACGAGTTTAACTTTGGCTCAGGTGAGACAGTACGGGAGACGAGTGTAAGTTTGGCTCAGGTGAGACAGTACGGGAGACGAGTGTATCCCTGGCTCAGACAATAGGCCGACTTTGTGTCTCAGACTCTGGTATGTAGCTATCTGGCTCAGGTGAGACAATGAGGGAATGTCTAATTGTGGCCTTAGTGGGACGTCTCAGATGATTCAGGTGAGGCAGGATGTCTCCAATGTCTGAATGACTCTGTTTCCCGCTTGTTTTTAATGCCCCATCAGCAGTGTGCGGTGCTCTGACCTCCTGTGTGTCGTTGCGCCAGTTACCGGTTCATGGACCTGTTCCCTGCCGCCGACGAGGTGTCCTGACCCACGCTCTGTGCCCCCGCTGCCGCCAGTTACCGGTTCATGGACCTGTTCCCCGCGGCCGACGAGGTGCGTGAGATGCAGGCAGAGCTGGACGCCACAATCCAGGAGGGCGTGGCCAACATCGTGCAGCTGCTGAAGAACACGGAGGCGGGTGGCGCGTCCTCCTCGGCGGCGGCACGGGTGGACGACGAGGACCGCTACACGGCCAGCCGGCGGCAGCAGGCCTACCTGCAGAATAACGGTAAGTTAGTACAGCTACAGCACTCACAGCAGTCACTGTAGCCTCCGGAATTATAGCGAGAGACTGGGCCAGTGCTACAGAGCAGGCCTAACTCCAGAATAGCGGCGAGTGATAGCGACGGAGCAGTACACACTCTTGAGATGGGGCGGAAACAAGGTGTTGGTAACCAGCTAGTCGGCTGAAATTGTGCTTGTTAGTCAGTGGGGGCTGTAATTATTAGCAATGTTATTTTTATGTAAAAGATCGATTAAACTAGACTGTAAAGACTGGTTTTGTTAGCTCTGAGTTGTGAACTGCCGCCGCCTCTGACCGCCGCCCGCCGTTTTTACAGACGACTCGGACGAGTCGGCTCGGCTGGGAAAGCTGTCCAAGCGCCTGCTGTCCCAGGGCCTGCTGACCCACAAGATGATGGAGGAGCTGCACCAGGAGTGGGAGAAAAACAGACAGGTGAGCGGATCGGGGACTCCAGGGGGGGGGGGGGGGGTCGGCTGGTGCGGCGTGAGTGCGACCGCTGGATGGGGCGCCTAACGTGCTCTTAAAGGAATACCGCTACTGGTACGCTTCTCAGTGTCCACTGTTCAACTGTTTTCTTAGCGGATGTGGCTAAGGCTATAGACATGGGGCACTTTCCCTGGCATGACCCATACTTTTTGTCAGACCTGTCCAAACAATGTCTGGCGATCTGTTTGTAACTTCGTCCCCCTCACCTCCCTTTTATAGATTCATTGCTCTTTTTTCAGAAGTCGTCGCCGTCGACGGGTGGACGCGGTGAGGGCAAGTCGAGGAAGCGCCGGTGACACTCGCCCACCTTCCTTCGGTGAGCGTTTGTAATCATCCCAGCCCGCGTCTCGTCCCGGCTGTGTAGCGGCCTTTAGTCCTCCACTCTCCCAGACCCCACTGTGTGCTGGTCCGGCTCTGACCCCGCTACTGCCACGGATCGGTGGGTCAGCGGCCCGAACAGGACCCTTGTGATGGCAGACACACGACGACGATATGGCGGATAACGATGGTGTGGTTGTTAGGCTCCCAATCGCGGGGTCCGAGCGGAGAGGCTCGTCGTACGGTGGGCTGTTTTTGCCAGTGACTTGTTATCGGCGCCGAGGTTGGCGCTACAGTGCTAGGGTAGGAGGAAAGTGATAGTGATACTGCCAGTGATCTAACCGTGTCAGACAATATACGGCGAAGACCGGATGCCAATGGTGTTTTCCGCCCACATTCGGTAGATGGCGTTGTTCGGTGCTAAATGAATCAGGGCATTTGAGCGTTTGCTCCGTTCGTTCCCAAAGCCGCTGAGTTCTAAGAACGATTTATTCGTAAATGAACAAAATCCTGGCAATAAATTAGCCTTGCATACTTAGCAAAATATCACAGTTAAATAATACATAACTGCCAACACTGCAGTGGACGGAATGCTTTCATCACCAGTCATAAACATATCACGATAGGTAACGCTACTTACCATGGTCTTTGCCTATCGCTGGCCATTGCCAAGCCGGATATCAACATAGCGCTTATTTATATCTACGATAAGTATGCAATGCTAGTTCTCTCTGTCACCGCTTCATTGGTGCAAAACAGATACGAAGAGATTATCGTGCTGACTAGAAAAATCATACGAAGTACGACCGTGAAACTGAGTTTAACTTGGGCTGGCACTTATTCAGTATGCACTCAGCCTGACCGTGGACAAAAACACATTGTGGAAAACATACCTCACGAGCAACAACCGTAGCGCCCAGTTAAACTCTGCCAATACGGTGACACGATATAAATTGTAAAATGACTAGAAACACGAGACCTTTGCAATGTCTACGCCACTGACCGACGATTACAGATGGAAGCTATCCCATCAAGACGGACAGACGACGGACGACGGACGGCTACTTTCTCAATCACTAGGCGCCACCTTCGGAGTCCGGCCCACTATCAAGCATAGGTACTCGTACTAACTGCGCCTGTCTACTCCCATCTGTGTGGATGTCGACTGACGACGAGAGAACGGAACGGCATCTCACTCGCCGACACCTGGTCTGGACGGACAGCCCACCGGTCAGGGACATCTCACAGATCAGGGACGGCGTCTCACTGGTCGTCTCACTGGTCGGGGACGGCGTCCACGGTGATCTCCACGCTCCAGGGCCGGTCGGGCCGCTCCGGCAGCAGACACTGGGCCAGCGCGCAGCCGGCCGGCGGGACGCGCGGCGGCCGCGCCACCAGCGGCCGGCAGCCCACACAGCGCGACACGTCGACCTCGGCGCGGACCGGCGCCGCGCCCAGGTTCACCAACACCACCAGCACGGCATGCTCGAGCGTGACGCGCCGCCAGCCGGCCGCCGGCGCGTCGCCGCCCAGCGCCAGCCGGCGGAGGAGGCCGGCCGGCAGCGGCGCCACCCCGCCGACCGTCAGCTCGGCGGCGTCAGCGGCATCGCAGCGGGCTGTCAGCTGGAACCCGGCCACTCGGCGCGGCGCCAGGTCCGGCCCGAACCCGAGCGCCGTCAGCGACAGCCACAGCTCTCCCGGCTCCGAGGCGTTATCCTCCGCCTCCAGCTCGTGCAGCCGCACGAAGCCGGCCTCGGTGAGCTCGCCGTTGCGCGTCTCGAAGTTGGCGCCGACGATGGCCCACTCCTCGTCCTGCACCTTCTCGCCGGCGGTCAGTTCGTTGAACGCACTGAACTCGTCCCGACTGAGGCCGCCGCTGGCGTCAAAGTCCCACAGCCGAAACAGCTCCCGGAGGTGCGCCGTGTACGCCTCAGTGAGCCGCACCTCGCCGCCGGGGTCCACGGTGAACAGCTGGCGCTGCGGCGAGTCCGGCGCACGGTCAGGCTCGCGCAGCAGCGCCGCGGTGACCGTGTACTCTCCGGGCTCCAGTCGGCGGTCCAGCCGCGCGCTGCCGCCGGCCGCCGCCGAGGCCACGCCGAGCAGCGCGCCGTCAGAGCTGCGCCACAGCAGCAGCAGCAGACAGCGCTGCGGCTCGGCGGGCTGCAGCAGCAGCCGGCAGCCGGCCGGCCGGCGCACCGTCAGCCGGTACTGGGTGCACTGCTGCGGCCCCAGCGGGCCGTCACCCTCCGCGGAGAGGATGGCGCAGCCGCGCACAGACGCCACTTCTGGAGCAGCGTCCAGAGCCAGATGGTTCGGCCGCAGCGCCGCCCGAGTCGCCTCGTACTGCGCCAGCTTGTCCGCGTAGTCGTCCAGGAATAGTTTCATCGACGGCGGGTCTCCGCGCGCCGCCAGAATCGTCTCCAGCTGCGCGATCTCGTCCGCGGAGAGGGCGTCACCTCCCTGCATCAGCTGCTGCTTCCACTCCCTCCACTGCAGCGGCCGCCCTCCGGCGTGCTGGGTCACAGCCTCCACTGCTTCCGAGAGCGACTCCATCTGATCTGCCGGCACTGAAATGGAACTGCCCAGGTAACCAAAAGTCAACTTTCAACACATCTTTTAACATCTGCTTTCAAATAACTAGCTCATGAACACTTATTAATATGCTCAGGTTGACATGCATTCATTCCATCCATAGCCTACTTTTCAATTGCTATGAAATGTGGAAGCAGAGCATCACCATCAAGATGAGGTTTGCACAACAGAGGCGCTCACAGGCTTTTGGAACCTTGATCTTGCATTATTTTGCTATTTTGTTTTTTCTAATGCCACCAGTTGAACGTAAAATTGTAATACCATTACGTCGCAGGTAAAAGCATTAAAATTTAAAAACCATCATAAAATTATTTCATGTCTTCCTTACCTATCTACCTAGAAACGCTAGAAACATACCAAAATAAAAACCTAGGTAGTAGGGTAGGTCGGTACTTGTTTCCAAGTTTAGGTACTACTTTGACTTACGAATGCAGCGTTTATTCGGGTTTTCCAGTGGCTCTGTATTTTGAGTCTCGACACTTAGTGCATTCCAGGCCCTTATAATTCTTCAAATGTTTTAAGTATTGTGAAAAGATACTTACCCTCTTTTTATACTCAATAGTCGGCAGGGTATATACTGCCTTGGTCGGCAGATCTTTGATACTCAACGGACTCGGCTTGCCTTGAGATACGCTTGACTTGACCCTTGACTTGACCCACGGTTTGACCCACGGTTTCAAGCACCACGGTATATAGAGAACTTCAAGCACGGTTTGACCCGACTTGACCAAGGACTCGGGAAAGGGCTTGGAAAAGTAAATAGCGCAGCTGCGACAAAATATTTTGTTCAAAATCTTCAAAAAACGTTTCGAAATGAAATTGTTTCATCAAATTTCCATGGTAACCGAGCCAACCACAAATGACAGCATAGTATTTTCTTGCGCAAGATCAGCTTGCGAATAATAATGAACAGAAAATCACAAGAATGCCTTATCGAACGATAGCTGGCCTAACAGCTGCGTGTCCGTTCTCGCTTGGTAGCCATTGATATATATTGATAACAGGGTTACATATTGATATTACAGTTATTTTTTTGTAGAATTTCAAAGCTTATATAGGAGCCAGAAAAGTGTTCAGCACTTGGGTCTTGCAGGTACATCGACAACCAGATGCCAATGCAGTGCAGTTCCGGGGTGGTAATTGTCACCCTAAAATTTTGCCAACAATGCACAAGAAGAAAAATACCGTAGGTGGTGTTAATTTTTTATTTTATTCTTTTGTTAGTAAAACAGGCCTCTAATTTCTTGATGAATACTTGCATCTATGACTGAAGTCATCAATTTAAAAGCTGTACGAAATGTGCAAACTTTTCAACTAATCCCTGCTTGGTTTGATTTCCATCTCTACTTTTCCAGATTCTGGCACGATTCCAGTTCCCCCAGTTGTTTGGAGATGTCCCGGACAATCATTGTGGTACCACCCGATGCCGGTGGGCGGCGGCCGCGACGGTCAGCCCGCGTTGCCTCGCTGGTGCAGCTGCTGGAGCCCGCCGTACCAGTGACTCTGGCGGCAGTCAGCCCGGCAGACCCCCCACCAGGTGGCTCGGCAGACAGACCTGCGGACGAGGCGGCGGGACGACCCGGTGCCGTAAAACGGCCACGGACCGGCCTCCTCACTGCCGGCAGTCTGGATTCTGACTCGGTAAGCATGTACTGCACGCTGTGTAGACTCAGTGAACTCTACTGATAATAGTTACTTCAGATTTGTCGGTATTTGTCATTTCTAGCTCGTCATATTTAAAGCTGTGGTTCTTGCTTTAGGTCAATTAAATCCTTTAGTCTACCAAAGTCAAAACCTAATTGAACTTGAATGTTCCCTTATTCCTATAAGCTGTATTCCTGATTTTGATGTGTTAACAACATTCTTATCATTATTCTATCCATTTCCTCCCAGCCATCATCTGATGCCACCGCAGCTCCTTTGGATACGACGGAGCAGACGCCAGCTGCCACCAGTGCCTCTGGTAGTCCAAATGCGAACGATGAATACGGGACTTCGCCACCAGGCTCAACCGACCCAGGACCTAGCGGCTCAACTGCGACAACCAGCGGTAAGTTACTGCGTTTGTTATGGATTACAGTAGTATCCCCACCACCTAGTTTGTAAAACATCGTAAAATGTGTGCTATACCGGTGACGGTGTAGTCTGTGTATCGGTTTTCGCCATCCTGCCCACGGCTGATCTCTGTGATATCTTTCCCAGCGGCCGGTGCGACCGGGTCGGCCCAGCAGGAGAAGCCCGAGTGTGGCATCTGCCTGGATACGTGCCTGCACCCGGTGAAGCTGCCGTGCGGCCACGTCTTCTGCTACCTCTGCGTCAAGGGTGCCGCCAAACTGTCGGCACGGTGAGAAATGGTCGGGGCCGAGGCCGGGGGAGGCGTCAGCTGGACGAATTGTATCCATTGATGCAGGGGAGTAGACATTGAATGCTTAGTGCAGGTATTGTAAGTTCGAGATATGCTAAGCGATCGTTTATTTAATCTAGCAGTTGGGTGGTACGTTTCAACAGATTATTTAATTGTATGACCTTGGTGTCTGTCTGTGCAATGTGAATCACAAATTAGCTGCATGTCGTCCATTCTCGGTATCTATCAGTGCCCCGCCCCCGCCGCTGTGCGCGGCTGGCTACTGACATCTTCCCACATTTTCACACCGCCAGCTGCGCGTACTGCCGAGCCGAGGTGACTGAGAAATTCATCAACAACCCGCGGCTGCTGGACGAAACGGAGGTGGAGCGGGAGCTGACGGACACCAGTCAGAGTCACCACTGGCTGTACCAGGGCAGGCACGGTCAGTGGCATCAAAATAATGACACCATCCAGACCCGGCTAGCAAAGGGTTTAAAAGATCAGTGACCTTGTCCACTGAAAACGATCACAGTTTTTTTTTTCTTGCAAGACATGCCACAAAATTGCAAATCTCATATCACTGTTTGCATTCCATAAAGTCAAAATCGCCACCATCTTCGATGATTTTCATAATCGTTGATGGCGTCCCTTCTGCCTCAGTCTCCTGGCCTCTCGTCCTTTAAATTTACCCCACCCTCTGACCCCGCTCTTCCCCAGGCTGGTGGCGGTACGACGAGCGCACCAGTCGCGACATCGAGACGGCCTTCTCCGCCCAGCAGCCCTCCGTCCAGATCTCCGTGGCCGGTGAGCTGTACACGGTCGATTTCGGAACGTTCACTCAGTTCCACGACCAGTGCCGGGGCCGGCGCAGACGGGTGAGACGGGAGGCGGCTGACGCGCCGCCCGACCCGGCGCTCAACTGTAAGGGGGTGGCCGGGCTCCGGAAAAAGCGGCGCAGGCAGTGATGAGGCTCGGAGGGGGAGGGAGCTCCCTCAGGTAGTCAGGTAGGTCGGCTGCTACGCCTTAGGGCGCACTGGGGCTGATTTACCTGACCCAGAGTGGGCTAGATGGAGGATTTTAGTGGTCTGGTTATTGGTATTCGGCTAGTGGCAAAAGACAGGCCTATTTGTGATTGGTTTCTTCCTCTTGCCGTAGAACTAGCAGCAGTTGGGGTGGCAGTTGGGGTTTATCAGCCTCCCCTCAACCAGTATTACGAGCAGTAAGCTGATTGAAACTGTTGGTGGTTACATTGATGAGGGAGTTTAAACTTAGAACGAGCTTTTCAAACGCGTCGCGAAGTCAAAATTGTGTCGTGAACCGACTTTGGATATTGGTTCCGATTGGTTTCAGTTGTTGTACCGGACTCGGGTCTCAGAGTGTACAATGTACATGCCGGCTACTGTTCTCAGGGTGCAATGCACGGATTTGCCGAGTTATGCGCTGTGCGAAGCATATAACTGGGCCAGTTGGTCTTAGTTTGTCGACTCGCTATGGGCTATGAGGTAACTGAAGCCAGTTTGGCTGGACAATGTGTGCGAGCCGGGTCGACGCTACTTGCGTATCGCTGTGCCTAACCGAATCGAAAATGCAAACGAGCGAGGCAACGGCTCTGGCCATCGACCGACTACTGATAGCCAGAGACGCACAGTATGGCTGAGCTATATTGGTTTGTTAGTGTTTGACTGTGCAATGCGTGTATCACGTACTTTTCACCCTGTGAAGGGTGACCAATGTCACATTCGAAAATCGAACGGGTTCTGTTTTAAGGGAAATTGCCCTAGAGTTGCTGTCATGCTGTGCCCTATACATATATGATTCAGCATATACTTAACCTAACGTACAGGAGTGTCTACCTTAGACAGTCACAATCGTGCACGCGGATTGCTGTGCTTGGAAAAAATTGCTTAGAAAAGCTGTCTTGCATGCAGCTTGATACTTAATCAAGCGAGCATTGATTCCGTACTGAAATTCGGTGATGGCTACACGGTGCCTGTGTTCAATGCTGCGTCCGTGCTATTTATGATAAGTTTGAAGGTGGCGCTCCCGCCCGTACCTGATAGATGTATGTGTGTACAAAGTATTGCTTCACGTAAAGAATGATACGTTTGTGAGCTTCACAATCATAGTTGCTTTCGCTAATAAAGGAAATCACGCTTCAGCCGAAATAAGTTTGTGCTGGTTCCAGACACTCGTCTTATCTAATTTAGAGCCTTACCTCATGGGGTCAGGATCGTAGGTTGAGGCCATATGTCGTTAGATGTGCTGCGGGTGACCAAAGCTCAAAAACACATTTTGTTGTTTTGTGTATTTACGAATTAATGCTGCGGCGCACGATGCGTATCACAAATTAAACCATCAAACAGACTTTCTGTTTAAGACGAAACGTGCTGCTACCGACTACTAGATGCTTTAGCAAAATATCGCCTGTTTTGACACAGCTATGTATGCGAGATATCACAGACATTTTCGCACAGAAAATGTTACTGAATATTTTCTATCTAGGTGGTTGGTTGATAATACACAATAAATCAACGCACACAACCTTATGTCATAGACCGCTCCCACCCGTGTTGAAGTAAAATTCATTGCGCTTCTAGATGCCCACTCTGGCTCTTTTGCTGAGTATCTGATGAGCGAGATTATCATTTGGATGAACCAGTTCGCCGTCGCACTTGTGCGTCACTCACCCCCGAGATCCGCGACTGATCCACAACGAGCGAGCGAGAGAGGTCGGCGCTGTAAAGCACATCAGCGGACAGGCACCGGCACACTGCACCACGACATCGCCACACGGTTTACGTCAACACACTGCACTGCGGCACCCGGCTCGCCGTTCACAGCGATCGGCGGTGCCTTGTCCGGACTGTTCCGATACAAAGACGCTGACCAGATACTCATCAGTAGATCAATGGTAACTCGAAGGTAATCGACATACAACGGATGAAGATAGTTTGAGAACTATTCACCGGCGTATCAAATGCTAACATAGGTAGCTAACGCAGTGCGTTGAACATTTCAGTACGCTATCATCATTTTGTGTCGGATTTGTAGCATTGTTCCACTGCACCAGAAGGCACCGTGAGAGCGCAGAAAAGGGACCAGACTTGAGGAAAGGGTCGCGAGTGCCGCTAAAAGAACTGGGGAAGTGCATTAGGAGGTCTGAAGGCGGGAGTTGGTGCGAGCCAGGTAACCAGGGGATACTGGTGACACGACTATGAAAGCGATATCCGTCCGACGCGGCCGATACAGGTACTCGCCGCAAACAGTGTGACTGGTAGGAGTATGGAAACTAATATCACCTGTCGTGATTGATGAGATCAATACGTGGATAATATCCTAGCTGGCCAACCGCAGTGTCCGGCGAGCATATGCCTAACTGACGCTGAAGCGAGGGAATGTAATCGTTATGGTGGTTCAATACGCTGGCTGCCTTGATATTTATGGAATGCTGTAGCGGACAATGGCACAATAGCAAAAATGTAATGCGCTTGACGTCCGGCAAAATTATAGCCGATGTAAATTGTAAGAGTACTACAGCGACTAGGTATACTATACGATGTATGCTTATCATAGACTGTCAAAAGCGTCATGTAGCATCAGAGAGCTCCATTCACATTCCAGCAAATCCAGCACTGCTCTAGCGTTGCGGCGCTGGAGCCTAATTGTGCCGGGGTTGAGTAACATGTACTGTCGGAGCTGTGAGAGCTATTTGTGCGCAGTCGGCCGGGGCGGAAGGCTCAGGGTCGGCGGCGGAGGGCTCGGGATCAGTACAGTCAGCGCCGCTCCATTACTGGAGATCGGCTCACGTTGGCCGCTCAGTCGCAGCGGTCCACGTACGAGGCCGCCGCACTCGGAAATTACTGCCACCGCCGCCGCTCGGAAACTGTTACCGATGCCGCCACTCGGAAACTCACCGATACCGCACTCGTAAACCCACCGGTACCGCACTGGGAAACGACCACAGCAGCGGCTTTCGGAATGGTATCTGCCGCCTAATGGTCTGCCGCGGAATGGTCGAAGGTTTTAGCTTCTCCGCAGCTGTCGCAGCCAGAAAACCGCTGATCTGTCGCTGACGGAACCAGTGTAGCGGTATGAGCCACTGCTGCTGCAGTCTATAGCCGCCATGGCTGTCTGAAGCTGCCAGTGCGCAGCTGCCGCAGTCTGGGGCTATCTGGGCCACAGTGTCGTAACTCGTAATCTGCAACTGCTAGTCTCTTAGGCTGAAACCGTTCTCTAGTCCTCGGCTGGATCATCCACCTACTTCAGTCCTTGTCAGTCGTACCCCGCGCAGAGATCGGTTCGCTTCGCCGGACAGCGATCACTGGCTGACGATCGCCTGCACTTCACACTGTCGTTTAGAGATGAAAGCTGCCAGCTTCATACAAGCAACACCAAGCAGCTGTTTGACAGTGAAACTGCCTGCTGCCTTTTACGCGTCGGGCAGTTGGTTGATTGCGAAGCTGGCCACAGAGCTGTGGCTCTGCCAGCCGTTACACATCAGACAGCTGGTTGAGAGTGAAGCTGCCCACAGCTTTCCACAGGTGTTTACGCGTCGGGCAGCTGTTTGAGGGTGAAGTTACCGGCTGAGAACACCCTCAGCATGAAGTGTCCGGGCGTCTCGGGCGCGAACGTCGCCGGAATGACCACGTAGTGTCCGGGCTTCAGCTCGAGCCGCGCCGCCACCTCGCGGTAGTTGATGTAGGTGCCCGACGAGGCGTCCTCGTAGTGGTACATAAAGTGCTTCTGCGGCACGCGCTGGATCGGGTTGTCCACCTGTGACGCAAAGGACGGATGTGGTGAGAGGATAAAACAGGCGGCTGGGACAGTAAAACCGTCCAGCGGTCTTCAGCTAATTCGTTCAGAGTGAATAGCAGAAATGTTGCGTTGAATGCCGCTATTGATTGTTGAGCAACTGAAGCTGTCTGCTGAAATATGCGCTGTTTATGGTGTCCGCTGTCCAGAGAAGTCTCACCTTGTAGACGAGGAATCCGATCTGTGCCATTTTGATACCGAACTGCCGCTGGGACCGCCTGTACTCCTGCATCAGCGTCACCAGCACCGGCACCTTATCCGAGTCGTCGTCATCCGTCTCGTCTGGGGAAGGACGGGAGACGAGACAGGCGTCAGTCGTGTACGTGGGTGGGACTCTTCGACAGGCTCGAGCGGCATCATAAAAATGATGTAAGGCATACTGTCGCTGTACTAACGGAACTATTGAAAACGTAACCGTTCCGCGTATTGGAAGCGTTTTTAAACGCAACCCTTCTTCGTAACAAGAACATTGATCATTCAGATCAGTTTGACGGATAACGGCTGCTCAGTTCAAGCCAAGCTTATTTTCAGATCTGCCCGCAGTCGAATCCTTCCTGTGCCCAAGCTTCGCAACATCACCCCACCCCCGGTGTTACCGGCTCACCTGGTGTCGGGTCGACCAACGGCTGTAAGTATTGCGAGATAGTGACAAACCAGACCGCCTCACTAATTACCACCTTATACTGTTCCCGCCCGTTGTTACCGGCTCACCTGGTGTCGGGTCGACCACGGTCAGCAGGTACTGAGGGTTGGTGGCGAACTTCTCAAAGTTGTTCCGGCTGCCTCCGGCGTTCTTGCCCGGAACCCACTCGCCCCTTATCTGCTGCACCTGAAACCCAAAACAAAACCTTATGTCACTGGTAGTTGTCGGGTGCATGCACTTCTTACGGCTTTCATTTGGGGAGTTATTCCAAGCAGAGGCCTCTTGCACCTCTTGCAATTGCATGAACTCGCTTCCTCTCATCTTATGCGAGCTCTCGTTGACCCCGCGGTGACCTCTCGCTTCTGACCCAGCCCAACCCGACCCGACCCGACCTGACGTGACCTAACCTGAGCTCCTCCGATCTGACAAGAGCCGTTCGCATCTCTACTGACTTGACCCGAGCTCTCCTGACCCGACCTGACCCAACCGGGCCTTACCTGTCCCACGTGGTCCACGCGGCCGTCATTGTCGTAATCAGGCCCCAGTGTGCACACGGAGGCCTCCTCGAACTGGGCGCAGAAGTCGCTGAACTCCATCCAGAACTCCCCGTCAGCCAGCGAGGTGACACCCAGTCGGCCCCGGGTCACCTCGTCCACACCCGACCAGCGCTCATCACTGACGGAGAGAGACAGGTCAGAGGTGACCCCAGTGATCGAGCCCGAGTAACCACCAGTCGACCGCGGGTGACCTCGTCCACACCCGACCAGCGCTCGTCACTGCCGGAGAGAGACAGGTCAGAGGTGACCCCAGTCGACCCCGGGTAACCTCGTCCACCCCCGACCAGCGCTCGTCACTGCCGGGGAGAGACAGGTCAGAGGTGAACCCAGTGATCGAGCCCGAGTAACAACCAGTCGGCCCCGGGTGACCTCGTCCACACCCGACCAGCGTTCATCACTGACGGAGAGAGACGGTCAGACGGTTGGTAAGACGCAATCAGGGTGTGGAGTGTGTGGACAGCTAGGGTCATTTTTATTTATTTATTTATTTATTTATTTATTTATTTATTTATTTATTTATTTATTTATTTATTTATTTGCGTAGATCACCAACAGAGGAGTGCAACACCGGCAGACAGTCAGTAATCAGGATTTCGTTCCAATGAATGTCGCGTGGAGGAGTGAAGAGGTCTGTTGCTGAGAGAACGAGCACAGTTTGTAAAGTATATTGCCATGGGTAAGCTGCTTGCTTATTCAGCCAGGTCAAAGGCGCGTGCGATGGCTCTACTATTCGTTTCCATGGCTTCAAAGGATGTAGGTCGGTCTCTTTCAGTCGGACGGGAATCACCGCTGGTTATTTCATTTGGCGCGCAGCCGCCGCGTTCTCCAGTCGACCGGTATAGCTCATTAGCTGAGTGCTGCTCCTTCCCCCTCCCCTCCCCTACGCCTACACAACTCCCTCACAGGAAGAGCCCCGGGCAACAGGCGCCTCCCCCCCTCGACAGACAGGGGGAGGGGTCGACTAACGGCCGCAACTGCAAGTATCGGCCTTGACACTGTCGGCTGATCAGTTACCACTGCCAGCGGTCGATAGGGCGCTCAGCCTGCCGAGCTGCTGCCTGGGCTAGTTTACCAGCTTTGCTGTAAATACAGCCGACAGGTCTCTACGACGCACTGGGAGTGGGCTGATTATCCGTTGGGTAAGGATAACACAATGCACTTTTTAGTTCCGATATCTTACGATTTGAGCCGTGATGACATTGGGGATTTTTCATTATGAGTCAGCACAACTGGGGTTTTATGCTCTGCTGGACGTACGGCTCTCGCGAGATTAAGCGGTAGGTTTTGCACTTTCACATTTCCGGTTATATCTCAGAAACTAATCGATCTACGATGAAGCCAGTTTACACGATCATGGCCGGCTTGTTACCCAACAAGTCGATCGCATCTTCAACACTTCAAAGATATAGCCAGATATCTATATAGATATATAGCCGACGAAGATATAGCCTGAAGTACACTAAATTTTCTAGGTGCAAAACCTACCGCTAAAACCCGCGAGACCTGTACACAATGCATCAGGCATTCCTCCTGTTGTGCTCGTATACCTACGTCATGCTGAGTTCAGCGCAATTCAACCACAGAAGGATGCACACAGCGGCCTGCCACATCGAGCACTGAGACTGGAGACATATTGAGAGGACACCAGTGGCGGATCGACTCACAAACGAACATCACGGTCACCCACTCTGACCCCTGTGAGGTTAATGAAGGATGACGGGGAGACCCAGAGATAGCTGATGAATGACGTGATAATCCGGAGACAGGTGACAGGGGAAGTCCGGAAACAGGCGGAGGGTGACAGACTGACTGGACAGCCAGGAGAAAGAAAACAGGAGACTGGACAGAAAGGCGAGAGAAGACAGAGGAGACCCGGGTGGATCATGACAAGTACCGGGGACAGGTCAACCATACAGGGACCGGAACCAGGTGAAACGTGCCGGCGAATCGCTTACTCCGGAGACAGGTGAATAACGGATACGATCTACTTTGTACCAGGGTATATTGAGTGAACTCTGTACGGTCTCCTGGAAACTCCCGGCGGTCGGGCGTGGCTAATGTTACCATGGTAACCGCGTTTCCGCCAAGACCTCCTAATGAGAAAGAGTGCTGTGTTCCGCTGCACAACATACGCCGCGACTCGCTGACATTTGCACTCCGCGCGTTGTCAGATCCAGAGGCTTTGGTACCTACAGGTATCAAAGGCACGCTGGTTAGATTCTGGGTAAGAAAGGCTGTGGCTTTCAACGAAATGACGAATACTCTTCACAATTTACGGTATGCATTAGCAATGCCAGGAAAGGTCTCCGATCAAAGGAAAGAGGAATGTGGATATCAAACATACTACACTGAGCCTGGTTATACGCCAGTGGTACCTTTCAACGATGCTTTTGCAAAAGACCCAAGTCTTTCGCTGGCATCCGATGTCTGAACTTGAACCACACTGCTAAACTACAACTCATAGACTCTCTCTCTCTCTCTCCTCTCTCCTCCTCCTCTCTCTCTCTCCTCTCTCTCTCTCTCTCTCTCTCTCTCTCTCTCTCCTCTCTCCTCTCTCTCTCTCTCTCCATCTCTCTCTCTC